AGAGAGAGAGAGAGAGAGAGAGAGAGAGAGAGAGAGAGAGAGAGAGAGAGAGAGATTGGCATGCTACGTGTTGACGAGCGGCCAAGGAGGAGGGTAGGACCAAGAAGTGTTCACTGTCACCATAACACTTCCGATTCCAGTCATCCCTGAACTCAAATGCCACAAGAACTGCAAACCTAGCGCTTTCTTTGATTTTTGTTCCCTGATCACAAATTTCTTCCCCCGTTCGTCATAAATGTTTTGTCGCTTTCCTGCGCCCAGCTAGCTATATTCTTTCCACTTTATGATGTCAGTCAGTCAAAGGTTACAACCATACTTGCGAAAATAGGAATTCACCTTCCCCTCACAGACTTGAGGGTTTCGCGAACGACACGCCTCTGCCACCGTCTTCACCCGAATAGAACGCTCGGTCTTAAAGTTTACCCAAATACAGGGGTAACGGTCGAGCGTTTTATTCGGGTGAACAAGGTAGGTGGGCGGTTCTCTCAACTCTTGCACTCGTGCTGGCATTATCACCGTTATTTGTAAGGCGACTGACACGATCGTGGAAAGGTTTAATAAGATAAGGGCGACGAAACTTGAAAATGTCATGACGTTTTCTAATGGCGGCGGTGCGAAACGATATTGACAAAGAGTCGTCATGAGCGCTATGAAGACGGAGGTCTCTTAACGACGGCGGGAAACGTTATTACTAGTACTTGACAGGGGCATCGGGCTCGTATCGAGCTCACAAAGTGGCGTAAGTCTATAATGGCGGAGGGAAACGACATTGGTAGAGAGTGAGAGACGTCATGGGCGTCACGATGACACAAGTCTCACTGCTGCGGGAAACATTGACAGAGCGGGAGAGATCTCATAGGGGTCCGACGAGTTGTTGTGGCGCCCCTAAACCAGACGGCTCCGACGATAGATCGATACCCCTTGGAGAATGTGTCACGACGACGCAAGTTGAACGGTGGCGAGGGGAAACAATATCGACAGAGTGTCAGAGACGTCATGGGTTTCATGATGGCGTAAGTCTAATGACAACGGTGGAGAGGATATTTACGGGGTATGAGGGGGGAGTTATCATGACTGTCACGACGGAGGAAACCTAGTGGCGGGGAGCCATAAGAATTGTTATGGCTTGGTTACTATGAGGAATATGTTGATGATGGTGATGATAATGGCGATGATGATAAGAAGGAGTCGTGCGGAGGTAGGTTTTACTCCAATAAGATAGACCCAATCAGTTTCCTCGTTTTGATACCGGCGGGAAAAGAAAAACAAACGTAAGCGAGCATTTCAAGCGGCAACTTATTGTGAAGATAGTCGTCTCGTAGCGGTTGTCAAACATATCATCCACGTGGCCGTCCTTGTACGTAAGAGGTGATGAACAGATAAAGTTTTCCTTCCTTCCTTTCCTTTTTGTTTTGTTTTTTTTGTCTTTGTGTTCCGATACACGGTGTGGCGATATATATCTAGGGTTCAACTTCCTGATGAGTAGGGAGATGAAACTCCGGCGAAATAGTTTGTCACAATCTCTCGTTTGTGTCCTCTTCTCCCTCTATGCGTGCAGTTTACCGCGAAGTTTCTGTTTGATGATAAGTACATACATGTATATATCTCCCTCTCTGCCCACGGTTTACCAGGCTGTTCTGCCTATGGTTTACCAGGCTGTTCTGCCTACGGTTTACCTGACATCTCTGTTTGACGATATATATCTAGGGGAGGTGATATGAGCACCCCCCTATAGTGGATAATAGGATGCTCCTGTCTGTTGATGGGGAGCGCCACCTGCAGGAAATCGGGTCAAGCGTCCCATGAACATAGTGAATAAAGCACCAGCCGAGGCGTCCCCCCCCCCAACACTATTGGAGTTGTGTACAGTGAACATGACAAAACATAAAGCATAATCACTACCTTCCCCTTCCCCAACCATATCGAAAAACAAACTACGGGTTGCTCACCCGTTTTCCCACGGCAAGTCAATCGACCCATGCCGTTTCGATTTTGAAATGCTGAACTAAAGGACCGCGGCCTCCTATGAGCAACTACCGGTCCTCTGCAAGCAACAACTACCCCATTCCTAAAATCACCCCCCCAACAAATTCGTCACCCTTCCAACTACCATTTGGATATTATGACTAAACGACGAAATTTATCGCAAGCGACCAGGACGCAAAGTGGGTTCTTAGGGGGCAAAAAAAATTAGGGAACCGGTCCTTGCCAAAATTGCGGACTACCTACAGCTACCTCTGGTAGAACCGGGACTTTTGGAAAAAGGAAGGACCGGTCCTCAGGTGGAAGTGGACCCCAAAAAGAAGTGGGGGGCGTTGAACGGGTCCACATGTGGAAGTGGACCCCAAAACAAAGTGAGCGTATGTGAACTGCAAAAGGGCCCTCAGGCCTAGGCGTTGAGGCCCTTCTTCTCAAAACAGGGAGTTCAGGCGCAACGAAACAAGTGTTTTGCAAGAGGCAACTTGACGGTTTTCTATGCTTGGAGAAACCCGCAGAAAAATCTAAAATTTTGAGAATCCATAGATGAGGGCGTGTTCTTTCTAGGAAAAATATTAGAACATTTAAAAAAATATATTTAGACCGATAAATAATCATCGTGTCGATTCGGCGCATTTTTCATTTTTGCCACTCAGCCATGTGTGGGCCAACTTAAAAAGTACTCCAAATTCAATGAGTTTTCACTCTCAGAAGAATGCGTGAAAAAATCTGGAAATTGGAGTACTTGTAGATTTTGTTGTGATATTTTCAAGAAAAACGCTAAATAAATTAAAAAAAATCATTCCAACTGCAAAATAGATCGCGTCCGCAATTTGACCCATATTTCAATTTTGTCATTCAGCTTCCCTCTCTCTCTCTCTCTCTCTCTCTCTCTCTCTCTCTCTGGTAGGCCCCCTGCATCCCTCTCTCTCTATCTCTCTTTCTTTCTCTCTCTCTCTTTGTCTCTCTCTCTCACTCCTATCAACAAATGGAACAAAATCCTCTCTCTCTCTCTCTCTCTCTCTCTCTCTCTCTCTCTCTCTCTCTCTC